GGCAGGACCTTGCACTTGGCCTTGTTAAACCTCGTGAGGTTCACACAGGCCCACTTCTCGAGCTTGTCCAGGTCCCTCTGGATGGCATCCCGTCCCTCTGGCGTGTCGACCGCACCACTCGGCTTGGTGTCATCCGCAAACTTGCTGAGTCCCACTGTCTATGTCATTGATGAAGATATTGAACAGTACCGGTCCCAATGCGGACCCTTGAGGGACACCCCTTACTTTGACACTGAGCCGTTGACTAACTCATTGGACATGGCCATCCAGCTAATAATTCCTTATCCATCTAGTGGTCCATCCTTCAAACCCGTATCTGTCCAATTTAGAGGTAAGAATGTTGTGGTGGTCCAGGTGAACAGTAGGCTAAATGTGAGTGAGCAGGGAAGGCTCACTGTGTACCAGGCTGTATCAACAGGAGTGTAGCCAGCAGATCAGGGGAGGGGATTATTCCCTTTTACTCAGCGCTGGTTAGACCACATTTGGAATACCGCATCCAGTTTTGGGCTCCCCAGTGCCAGATAAGTGCTGGTAGGGTTCAGTGAGTTCTGCAGATGGCCACCCTGGTGGCCGGGGGCTGGAGTACGTGATGTGCAAGGAGAAGCTGAGGGAACTGGGCTTGTTCTGGCCTTTGAAAGGAGAAGGCTTCAGGAGGACCCTCCAACCAAAATGATTCTATGATTCTGTAGCTGGTGAAGAGCTCAGTAAAGAGGTGCGTAGCCTTTCACTGTTTGTTTTTCAGAGTCTCACCAAGTCCTTGCTCAGCTGCTGGACACCCTGTTGGTGATCGGCACAAAACTCACAGAGAATCCGTCTGTCAGGATGAGGCTGGTAGAGGTAGCCTGCAAGGTAAGGCAGCCTCCCTGGGGCAGGAAACTTTTATCACTGCCACAGGAAAAAAAACATGTAGTCAGTGTTTAAATTGTTTTAGTTTTTCTCAACAAACTGTTACAATACTAACATTTTTTCACTGCTAGGAGTCTTAGTATGATTAATTGTTTCGAAGGGGTGAAAGAAAAATAACAATCCAGTTATGTCTATTCTTCTCTTCCGTTCCACAGCATCTGACAGATTCTTCCCATGGTGTAAGAAATAAGTGTCTTCAGTTAATTGGCTGTCTTGGACCAGTGGAAAAAGGTGTTGCAAAAGAAGTTGAAAGCCAGGCTGCCAAAGATGTCCAGAAGATAATAGGAGATCATTTTAACGACCAGGACCCTCGTGTTAGGACAGCAGCTATAAAAGCCATGGTAAGGATTGCTGGTACAGTGGAATAAATTGTTTGGGGTTATATAAGGAAGCTGGTAAGGGGTTGCAAACTAATCCAAAGAGGTTTGGATTAGACATTATTTAATTAACTTAGTAAAAGTCCATTTAGCATATCAAAATTACCGGGAAAAATAGGCTAGGTCATGAAATATGAGAGTGGTGTGAGATCTCAAAGGGCATTTTAGTGATTCATAAGAACTTCTGTTTCAGCTATAGTTGAAGAAGCTTTTTAATTTGTTGGCTTTTTTGAGTGTATGTAGGTTCTTTCTTTTACCGAGAAATCTGTATTTCTTGATTTAGCATTGGTTACCACAATTTCAATAAGCCACTAGTACTCCAACACACAGTAGAAAGCTGCTTATGACAGGAAACGTGTGATAAGTCCAGAAAGAACTCCGTTTGTTTGTTTTTAAACAACGTTTATGTTTGCCCCATGCTCACATTCATTAGCATTCTCTAACTGGTTATGAGGTTAACTGGTTTTCATGCGGGCTGGAGTGTGGGGACCCTTCAGAAGTGTTTAGTTTTGCAGAAATGCAGGCAAAGACCATGTGCTTGAGAATTTTGCTTGTGAGTATATAGAAGTTCCTCTGTTACCCTTAAGGTTTATAACAATATCCCATCTAACCTGATGGTGAACAAGGGTATGTGAATTAGCGATACTAAACTCCAAAGAAAGAGGCAGGGTGCATTTGAGGAGGTCAGATTGCTCGTGAATCTGTCTGGGATCTCCCTCTGCTGGAGGTTGCACTCATCCTTCTTTTTCATTTCGATCTGGGTTTTTTGGTACTTTTTTTTTTTAAAGAGTGCATTTGGGGAGGTCAGATTGCTCGTGAATCTGTCTGGGATCTCCCTCTGCTGGAAGGTTGCACTCATCCTTCTTTTTCATTTCAATCTGGGTTTTTTGGTACTTTTTTTTTCTTTTTTAAAGTCATTTGAGTGACTTTTACAATGGGGTTCAACCAAATCCATAGCAAGATTTATGACCTTGAATTTATAATTACAGCACAAAGTCAACTGTCTTTCTGTCGTTTGAAGCACGGAAGCATCCTGAATGAATTCAGGGTCACTAACCACTTCTAGGGTTCTTGATCATCGTTTTCCTTGCTACTGTGTGTGGGTCTTTGGGTTCCCCCCCCTCCCCCTCCCCCTTGAATTTTGTCACTGGCATGTTTCACTTTGAAGGAGTGGATACAGAAAAGTAACTGTTTGCTTTCTTGTTGACAATATTCAACCAGATATTATCCCTTTGTTTATAAGTCAGATTCATGATACTACTTTGTTCCAGATAGAAACAATGTTTAGTACGACGGTTTCTGCTATTCCTCCGGTTTGGTAACTGAAAAGGTTTACAGGGCATGAAAATTCATTGGCAATGCTACTTTTGGGTCCATGTTTCAGGAGTGGTAGTAAACTAATTATTTTGAAGTTACCTATGTGTGTTGTAAGTGTGGTTGAATATGGCTAACACTAAACAATTCTTTGAAAGTTGGGAGAATGGACAGACAGTGTATTTATATAAATTGTATTTTCCTAATCAATCAAAGTATGAATGGGTGTGAAGTTTAAAAAATTATACTGAAGTCAAGATTATTATTTAAAATACTTATGGCCAAGATAATGAAATATTTTAATTATAGCAGCAATCAAGAAATGCAAACAACTAAGTTTACTCAAGGCAGAAAAAACAGTGGTGAAAACTTAGTCTGTGTCACTTAAACCTATAGTTACACTTTCTTGTGTGTTTTTTTTTTTTTCTGTAGCTGCAGCTTCATGAAAGAGGATTAAAATTACAGCAGGCTATTTACAGTCAGGTAAAACCTTGTATTAACTTGTATTTATTTCATACTTGTTTGCATATCTTGCTTTTTAGATTCTGTGACAATGTCCTTTGAGAGGAGGAGGGCATTGAACAGAGGTGGAGTATTTTGCACTTAGCTTGCCTGTATTCCTTACTGCCCTATGGCAGTGGAAATAAAGATCTGTTTTGTATCTCGTTGTGCTTAAATACACTAAAGCATATGCTTTGATTGGAATGTATTGTTTATTGGGGAGATAATCATGGGAAGGGCAAGGCATTATGTAATTCTTATTGTCATCTGGCAATCTCGAAGTCTTAAATCCTTGTTCGTTGGAGAGTACACGTTAAGCCTATGTTTGTTATGTCAATAAGGTTGTGCAGCTGAAGCCTGTATCAAATTAGTTCTACTATAGATTCACATTTTGTGCTTCCTGCATAGTACAGGCAATTCTGGAGTTTTACAGCATGTGCATGATGGACTTTATTAGGACTAGCCTACCTAATCAAACTTGGAAATACTAGGGAGTAGAAGGGAAGACTGAATTTCATAATCTGTCCTAACTGATTCATGGTAAGGATACTAATTGCGCTGTGGGAAGTGAATGACAGCTTACGTGGAGATGTTTCAGGTATATTGGACTGTGAATCTTCTTTCAGGCCTGCAAGCTGTTGGCAGACGATTATGAGCAAGTGCGCAGTGCTGCGGTTCAGCTCATTTGGGTCCTCAGTCAACTTTACCCTGAAAGGTATGCGCTGTATGCAAAGTGACTCAAAGTATTGGCATAGTAATCATCCTAATCCCAGGAGTTTTGTGCCAGTAAGTCTCAGGAGTAGCTGTTAGAAAACTGATGTGATTTCACACAAACAAATTGCTGATACCTGATAAGAATGCACTGATCCGGATGAGGGTTTGGTTCTTGATATTTGTTGCACATCCATAGGAATTCAGCATAGTTGTTTCTTCCTTGATGCCGTCCAGCATGGCATAAGATCAGCATGCTGATGTATGTTTCTCTGTGTTAGCATCGTCCCGATTCCTTCTTCTAATGAAGAAATTCGCTTGGTTGATGATGCATTTGGAAAAATTTGTCATATGGTTAGCGATGGTTCCTGGGTTGTTAGAGTACAAGCTGCTAAGCTATTGGTAAGTTGCATTCTTTTCTTCTCTATCTGAAAATAGTTCATCTTATGTTACTTTACTTTTCATGTATATTTGAAAAGAAATGGGAGGATGTTTAAAAACTGTATAGGTAAATTTCTACCAAAATTCTGGGAACAAAGAAATGAGAGAGGTTGAGGAAACCCAAAAGTTTCTCAGCTGAACTCTGCAGTGATTCTTTCCTTGAGAGCAGAGGGTTGGGTATCCAGAAAAAAACAAGTACTTGTTGTAATTCCCTCCCCCTACTTCTCCAGCACAGGACATGTCAACCAACTGAACTCGGGAAAGACCATATTAACCTCAGTGGGAAAATAAGATGGTCTGACCGTCTTAAGTAAACTTCTTCAGGCTCTGACATACGGTAGTGTCAAGCACTGTATGAAGCTATTAGAATGAGTGAATAAGATTGGATGCTGTGTTAGGATAAATCAGGAAATTATATGGCGTAATTTAGAATAATCCTGTTTCTTCCTTTTGATTTTTCTTTTTTTTTTTTCCTCCCCCTCTTTAGGGTTCTATGCAACAAGTTAGCTCCCACTTCTTAGAGCAGACCCTTGACAAGAAGCTCATGTCAGATCTGCGGGTATGTAAATGTTTGGGTTTGTTTTTACTCTGTGTAGTGTACTAAAATCGCACAACAGGTATGTTAATGTTGAGTGTGTTTGTCTGCCATGTCCTTGCCTTGGGGCTGCTGAGAGTTAATTGATGATGACAGGTTTTCTTTTAGATTAAAGTAAATGAAGCAATTGCTAGTTTTAGGTTTCATTAGCCAAGCATGTAATAAACAGCTCTAGGCTATCCAGGTTTGGCAGATGAGAGGTAAACGTTTGTGTTCTTCTGACAGGCTTTTGGCTAAAAGCTTTATTGTGTATGGAAAGATTGCATCCTAGTTTTAGGAGCAAGCTTATGGAAAATTCCTTCAAGATCTGACCAGTAGACATTGACATTTCAAGAGACACGAGTAGCTAGAGGCTGGGACTCCTGAGCCCTACGAGCAAAACTTAATCAGTAAAATTCCTTCCTTAAGCAACTCGCTCGAGGTATTACGTTCAGTTTTTCTGCCTACAAAAGAATGGTGAAGCTAGAGCTGCTAGCTTTCGTGGGCTGCTTTGTAAAGTCCATTAAAGAAAGTGCTGCACAGCTTTCTTCACAGTGTGGGGGGGAAAGGAGATGGACTCGTGAGCATGCCGAATGAATATCGCGTTTTACACATTGCTGAACACTGTATAGAATCGATAGTCATTGAAATATTTAATTGCAGTTTAACGAGTTGAACTGCAAAGCGATAGCATCTGTTTTTGCAGATCAGTTATTGGGTACTTAACTAGATGGGCCTTTGCTCTGACCCAGTTTGGCTGTTCTTATAATAGATGTCTAAGAATATGTTAATTAAAATGCATTAGTTATTATCCTTTCCCAACATCAAAAACACAAAGAGTTACTGGCAATTAGAAATATTCATAGAAGAGAAGGTATTATTTGCTTTTCTTAGCATTTGCCTGTCTCTGTCAGTGTCTAAGCCTCTAGCTACATCTATTTTCAAATCCAGTAAAGCCATTTAAAATTTTGTTCGGTCGTCTTTGAAGTTTGCCATGGTTGTAACTGAAAACCTTGTTTGGACAGAGGAAGCGCACTGCGCATGAACGAGCCAAAGAACTCTACAGCTCTGGGGAGTTTTCAAGTGGCAGAAAGTGGGGAGATGATGCTCCCAAAGAAGAAATTGATACAGGTGCTGTAAACTTGATTGAATCGGGAGCTTGTGGGGCTTTTGTTCATGGCCTGGAAGATGAGATGTATGGTAAGTGTTAACTTATTGGCTAAAGGAGGAGATGTGTGCTGGCTAATAAGCTTTGGGTTTTTTGAGGGGGGGGGGTTGGTCAAAATAGATCACTTGGCTATTGTGTTGGTTTTTTTAACAAATCGCGGACTTCAGGGTGGTGGGGTTTTATTCCGTTGTGATCTCTGATATGGCATTTGTTTCAAAGACGCTACAGTGTTGCACAGAATTTTGGGTAGAAATGTACTGTTGAGCAGCCAAAACCAAAGAGCTTCCTATAAACAGTAAAGTTTTAGTAAAATATCTGGCAAGAAGTGGTTGCTTATGTTATCCAGAAACCCACTAGGATTATTTTTTGTTTATTATTGACTTAAATTGGCATGTGGCTCTAAATTGGCAACATTAGTTGCTGCTGTTTGAAATTGGTGTTTTCTCTGCAGGAAGGAAAATCAAATTTTATAGAACTTGTTGTTTAAAATATGGCACTGCAAGGAACCCGTGTCCATGGAGCCCAGTAATCATTCATTTTGTAAACATGGCAGCTTCCACCCTAACAAAGGTTAGAAGTACTGGAGACAAACCCACGTATTTTTCAAAATATTTCAGAATCCACCGGCTCCAACAAACAGCAGCTTTCATTTAATTTCCAACCCAATTTTTTCCATGGCCAATTGATGCCCATTTGTTCTTAGCCAGTGGTAGGTTTCAGATTAAATAGTTGCTGCTTCTCTCGGGGACTGGCTTCCCTGATGAATTAATAGACAACTTTCATTTTGCAAGGGGCTAAACAGGCTAGGCTCCTTTTAGGCTCTGCTGCTATAAAAGCTTTCTTCTTGGCCAGTTAGAATGCGTTATTCTTGAAAACTGGTGGCTAGATCTGTATGTTTTCAGGTACTTAAATTTCAGGCGAGGTCTTGCTTACATCTTTAGCAATGTTACTGATAATTCTTTTTCTTTAATGGCAACACCCGTGTTCTAAGATCACATTTACCTGTTCCACAGTGCTATTGTTTTGATCTCTTGAGGGTCTTGCTATGATGGATTTGGAGGCCGTAGTCTCTTTCCGGCAGATTAGATCTGATCTGTTCTTCTAAGCGAGGTGAATTACGAGTGTCAAACTGGAACAACAGGCGTTCCTGAGCTCCTCAGTTTGGCTGTAGCATTGACCATGCTGATGGCCTCAGGAAAGTCTGTGTGCTACCCTTTGCAGCCCAACTTTCCCGTGGGTAAAGTGAAGTTTTATATTTCTTAAGGCTATTGAGAACGGCTGGTATTTGCATAGAACCGTGAAAATGCTGAGCTCCGAATGTTATTCATGAATTTGCTTTTAACGTTACTGGAAGGACAAGGCTAAATTAGAAAGTACATAACAAAAATATCGCTGTAGATTGTGTTGTAAAAGTTTATTGTTCCATGACTCCTGCAAATAAAAGCATGTTTTCCTAATAGCTAAACTCTCCCTGAAGCTTGAAAATGCAACTTCCTTTTTTTCTGACTAGCAGTAAAAAAATTTTTCACTGGCTCAGTCCGTTGACCTGTGAAACACGTTCTCCAGTTTCTTGCGCCGTAGGTCTTGTGGCGGTATGGTGCCATTGGGGAATGTCGATAAAATGGACAGATGTGGAATGTACACAGATCTTTAAATAACGTAGATCTCTCTCCTCCCGCTGCAGCGTTTTTAAATACCGCTGAGCTCTCTTCTTCCTTACTCACAGCGCTGCTTCATTTCTTGAATCCCATGTTGTAACTTAGATCTAAATTAGTGTGTCAGCTTAGGAAAGCAATATTGGCAAAATGTTTTTCTTCTTTAATACCTTGGTCTTAATGACCGCGGAGGCTCGTAGTTGTGACAAAAGCTTCGTTACTGAATAAGCAGGGGTCTTGCTGTGTTTGCATTTTTCTACTTAATCCGAATCATCAGGAATCGAGTATGTTCTTTAAGAACAATAGGCCTACAAGCTACACACGAGTTTAAGTAAATGTTTTCAAGATGAGCTAATTTGAATGAAAAATAAAAGTATGTTTAAAACAATAATGTTTGCAAGACATCAGATTAATTATTTTTTTTATGATCCCGGCACATAAATGTTACGGAAGCTGGCGAGGATGGCTGCAGGGAAGAGAATCTCATCTCCACTTGAGCTTGTTATATTTGGGCATTCTTCAAATTCCTGCTAAGTTTTACAGCATGAATACACTCTGGACACCTTTTGATGCTTTTTTGCTTAAATTCTGAGTAATTTTAATAATCAGGTGGCACCTTTTTCCTTTCTTTTGAGGAATCCAAAGTCACGAAGCAGAGGAATTTCATTCTGTGTACTGCCGAAATGCGAATCCTCTAGGGCTTTTCAGCAATTCATAAAGTGCTGCATAGCAAGTTTAAAACACAGTGAATACTCTGAGCAATTAAAATGTCAGGAAGAATAAAACAAGCAGAGTTTAATTACCTAAATCAGTTTGCTTAAGGTACCAGCGTTATAGCTACACTTGCAAAACACGCTATGAAATACGTAATATTTATTGCTGGATAGGAGGCCTGTTTTTCACCTGCAAGTCCCTCTGCGGATGCTTATGACAGCAGCACGTGCTGTGTTAGAGGTGAGGCTTTTGATTTGAAGACTTGCCTGTGAAAAGGTCCCTAATGGTCCTTGCTTAGTCTCCATCATCCTCAGGGTTTCCTTAGCATCTCCTGCCCTTAGCCCAGTCCTTGAACAATATGAGGCCTGGCTGTTGGGTGGTATGTCCCTTCAAACAGCACTAACAATTAATTCCCTCCCTGTCTTTTAACAGAGGTTCGGATCGCTGCGGTTGAAGCCCTCTGTATGTTGGCTCAGTCCTCGCCTTCTTTTGCGGAGAAGTGCCTGGATTTTTTGGTTGACATGTTCAATGACGAAATTGAGGAGGTGAGATTGCAGTCAATACACACAATGAGAAAAATTTCCAACAACATCACGCTGCGGGAAGACCAGCTGGATACTGTGTTAGCCGTCTTGGAGGTAAGAAATTCCTGAGGAGGGAAAAAATTGCATTCCTGCTTTCTTTCAGGTGTTATAATTATATAAAGCTAATCAGCCCCTTCCTCTGAGCTGAAACTGTCCACCTTTTTTGTTGTTGTTTTTTTCCTCTCCTTTGAGCATGCCCAAAAGCTCCTAAGGTCTAGTAGCTTGTCATCTCCAGGACAACAGAATACTTTTGAAGTAGATGAATTTCAGATAAAAACTCTTCCCTTGATCACTGTGCTGTTGCCTCATGTGTGTTTCCTTCTGTCTTGTTTTGTGGTCCAGCACTCTGCACCACTTCATGTTGAACACAACTTCATTTTCTTTGTTTCCTTTGTTCAGCTGCTTTCGCTACACCTTTGCTCACCAAGCAGAGACAGGGCACGGGCCAGAGATCTCTCTTCTGACTGTTCAGAGGGTTTGTTAGCGTGCTCTGCGGTATAGATTTGGCCTTTCCCAACCAGTCCGTTCTCAGCCAGGATCCAGGGGACAGCATGAGTCAGCTGCTGTTCCTGGTTGATGGCTTTGATCCAGGAAGGGGAAGAGATTTCGCCTGTACGAACGGTGCTGTGTCCCAAACTGCTTCCCCTCAGACCTGGTTTATTTGCTGAGCTATAGCCCCTGAGGCGTGGTTTTTTGATTCTGCTGCATGTGGTAGGCAAGTTTCTGCTGCTTTTGGGTAGTCTCCCAGCCTCGAGCGGTGCTGCAAATCTGCTATTTCTGTCTCTTCACCTGCTGTTTGCTTGACCCAGGGCAACAGTGGCTTCTTTCAGTTGTGCCCCAGGAAGAAGCAAACTAACTAACCTATTTTATCAGTCTAACAAATGCTGTGGAATATGATCTGAATTTGCAAATGCAGCAATGAGATTGAGGCGCCTCAAATTTTTATGTAGTTGATTTACATTTGTTCAAGCTGGGGACTTGTGCATCAAGGTATAAAAACATCCTAGTCAGACTGGGGTTCTGTCTTACACTTCTGTGCTGACTTATCGTGTATGATAAATCATACATGTATTATGGTTTATATTATCATACTTATTATAAGGTATTAGGATAGCAGAATTGTGAGAATGATTAACATTTTAATGGGTTTGTCTGATTCCGAAAGGTGCTTGCTTGCTTTCTGTAAAATCTATCTTCCAGTACCAAAATAAAGGATTTGGAAAAATAGCATTAACTTCGGTGCCTCAATTTGTTCTGAGAGTGTAAATACGGAACAGTTGGGGACGGGGTAACTTCTGTTTTCACCCCATCGCTTTGACTTTATCTGAATAACTCTACCAGCTATTCCTTGCTTTTCTGACCAGGCTTTGGATTCTGCTTTCCCTCTTGTCCTTGATCTCGGTTTCTGTTGAGTTGTGCTCCTCTCTGTCCCTTCATAGTCTTCTGCCTCGCTTGTCTCCGTACTGCCCTTCCAGCGGTCCATGCAACTCACCTGGAGTATCCTACCTCCATGGTCATTTCATTCCAGTCCTTAGAGCACGTCTTCTCTTTTGGTCATAGTCTGCCTTCCACCACCAAAATAAGGAACGGCTGAGCAGCCCTGCTGTGCTTTTCTCCTTTGATCATTTCTGTGTGTTGGCCGTCATTTAAGAGCCTTTGCAAGAGCACTGCTCTTTCTTCTTTTGTGTAAGACAGTGATGAATGAGCTGCTGATACTTAGCAAATTATAATTAAAAAAAAAAATAATCCACCCTTGAAACGCATCCAGTTCTTGTATCCTGTCAAATTTTCACATTCTGTCCAGCAGTGCCACACAAATGCTGATAGCAAGGAAGTATAAGACATTGATATGGAACAACAAGGTGGTTTTTGGCAGAAGGAATGTAATTAATTAAGCTGGAGTTCAGCCACAGCACTTCTAAAAATACTGCTCGGAGATTGCATGAGCTCCTTTGTACAACGTCACCCTGGCCTAAAAAATAAAATGGGTGCAGTGTGACTTTAGAAGTGGTACATTAGGGATCCCATACGATCATAACAAAGTTCCTGACCAAACTTCTAAGTGTGGTTTGCTGGTTTGGTGGTTTTTTTTTTTTTTATTGTCCATCTATAAACCTGTAGTTAGGTCAAGTTCCTTTATCCTATAGATGATCACTGTTAATCCAGTCTTTCCAGCCACTGCTGTGTCCTCAACGCTTATGCAAACCCCCTGGAGGCTGGTGACTGGGTTAAAGGCTTGTGGAATTGAGCTTCAGCTCTTGGGTGATAAAAGGCTTCTCCGAAGACGATAAAACAATCTTTGGTGATTGTTTTGCTGAGTTACCCAGGGCCTTCCTTTTCTGTTATTGCCTATGCCTAAGGGTACAACATCACCCAACCCAAACCAAATAGTGTTTTTTGCTCTGCTTGAGAAGGTCAGCGGTGAAGCAGTTCCCATTCATTCCGGTAAATGAAGCACGTGGGTGGGTGAGATCAGCAGGAGACCCTGCAGCGGTTGCCTGGTCTGTCGCTTCATCTGTGCTTAGCTACGATAACTAGAAACGTGCGCTGTTTTTCAGATGCCTCTAGTACTAATTCAGGCGAGGAACAGGAACTGTATATGCAGGCACATCTTCTCTCTGGGCACTCAAAGGTGTCTGGGTTGGTTTTTTTAGGATTCTTCAAGGGACATTCGGGAAGCGCTTCATGAACTGTTGTGTTGCACCAATGTCTCAACTAAAGAAGGCATCCATCTTGCGCTGGTGGAGCTGCTGAAAAACCTAACTAAGTATCCCACAGACAGAGAATCCATATGGAAGTGAGTGTGTTCAGTGTCCTTGTGTGTCCGTTTATTTTCCTATTCTTTTTAGTAATTGAGGTGTTAGGCAAATATTGAGCTAGCTAAGGAGGTAACAGGTATTGCAGGTGTACAGCCCTGTTGTTCTATCTATATTTGGAACGGTGGCTGTACTAAGCGTTGTACGTATTCATGACTGATGTCGAAACTCTGTGTTCTTGCTTGTCAGTACTTGTACTGGGAATCCAGAACTGATGACCACTCCTGGAAACAGCCCTCTATTACGAGCACTCAAAGCATTCCCAGAAAAGATGAATTCAACCTTCGGTTTAAAACCTCATCTCTTCTGTGCAACTCATGTTTTGTGCTTACTTGACACTGCGTTAAATAGTAATATTTACCAGCAGTTGATTATATCGGTTGGGACAAGTGGATTGGCTACGTGGCATTGTGCTGTTGGAGGGACTTTTTCTGTCTGAACAAAAATAATCAACATTTGTGTGGGGTTTTTTTTGGTTGTTTAATGGAAGCAATAAAGGAAGTGATGCTCTAGCACACATGGTTTGAGATGCAATTCTTGGGAATTTCTTATTGGAAACACTTATTTTAGTCTTCTTTGTCTTCCAGTGTACTCTTACATTGTTTTCGGAGTTTGGGGTTTTTGGGTTTTGTTATTTCGTTGGATTGTTACCTCCTCACTCCTTTATTTCTGAAGGAAAAAATACACTCATTTGTTAGCGTTTAGTATGAAAGCTTTTCTGGGGTTGTATAGCTCCAGGTGTTAAGTATTTCTTGGACGGTTTTATTACTGCTTGCTTTTTCAAGCTGTCCTCTCAGTTTTCTTGGATCCTATCAAATACTGATGCAAGTATTTAGCTGTGAAGAGACAGTAGGCTTGGACAGTATTCAAAGTGCCGCTGCAACATAGAGCGATAATGCTTTCAAATGTTGTATTTTGCAATGTACATGTTTACTAAGAAGTATTTCAATCTGTGTATTTTCAGATGCTTGAAGTTCTTGGGAAGCAGGCATCCCACTTTGGTGCTTCCGTTAGTCCCAGAGCTGCTGAGCACGCATCCGTTCTTTGACACTCCAGAACCAGACATGGATGAGCCAGCCTGTATCTTTTTAATGAAGCCAGCTGATCATTTTGACTGTAATAGGTTTTATTCATATTTTCCTGATGCTCACATTTGTTAAACCATTTCAAACTGTAGCAGACAATCCTGTAGCTATTTCTGAATCCCTTTGCCGCTTAGTTTTATTACTCAGCAAGTGATGGAATAACTGTTATCTGGAACCATCTTCATAAATACCAATGTGGTATAATTGGCCTTTTTTTATGCTGTGATGAATAATCTGTTTATCAAGCAATTTGTTAAGGTTTAGGCGTTGCGGATGAGTCCTTTGATGTGAAAACATTTGTCTAGCTTGCACTAATTTTGAAGATGCTTTAGCTCTTAAATAAGAAGAGTGGTTTTCCTTGTCTGTTTTCTCTTTAGGTAAAACTTCTCCTATCCTCACTCTTGTGCAGTGTACAGAACAGCACTGTCTCTTAGTACAGCAGTGGCTGAATCCCCGTAACGCTATAAATGTATCATCTTTTTGAAATAATTCAAAATCAGAAATCCTTATATTAATGTTAGCTCTTCTAGTGCTTTAGAATACAAACTATTATTGTAATAACATTATCCTTAACAATAGGAGATGCCTTGGAAATACAAAATACCATTTTTCCGTTGTTCATTCTCCTTGCTTCCCTTCTGTGCGATTGCAGAACGTAATGTTATTTCTGATGCATGCTGAGACATGTTAGGCTGGAACAACTCTCTTCCTCTGTGAAGCTACTCCTTATTTCTCACCAGTCACAGGCCATCAGCTAGAATTTCTATACAGACTAAATAAATACCTTGTGAGAATTGAAAAGGGCTAGAATCGGGTGGAGAGAAAGATTAATCCATAATCAGGTAGTTGAGTAATAATTTGAGTAAATTTGTCCTATGAGTTGAGAATTGAAGGAGCATTAGTGCGAGGAGAAAGCTGTTACTTAGCTCAGTGCACCTTCCTGCCCCAAACCAAAGAATATTATTTTAGAGAATGTTCTGGAGGTAACTTGCCACCAAATTTTATGGAGATACATTATGTGAAGACAGGCCTGGGGGCCAGAAACTACAAGGTAGACCTGAATGGTATGTTTCCAGTGTAAACTGTTAATTAAAAACACAGTTTTGTTTGATTCAAAGCACTTAGCAAATTTGAATGAGGTTAGCTGAATAGCTTCAGCTGAAAATTTGGAAAGGATTTTGGGTAAAGAGGAGAACTTGGTTTGTCAAGTGGAAACCTTTATGCTTGGCAGCCCATGGATGCAGAAGATTTTTCAGGAGGTGAGAGACATGGATTCAGTCCCTTCCGTGGCTGAACCTACTTCTTCCCATGCAGGCGGGTGCCCAGACAATCATAAGCTTTGCACTGGGACCCTTTCACGTTCTCCTGTTAGAGATCTTACGCTTGGGGTCATCCTTGTTGCAGGTGAGTGCCCCAGCCTTTGGGCTAACTGATTAAAGCTTTTGGTTGCCCTCTGTATTTCTCGGGCTCTCAGACTGTGAAAATCATAGAATTGTAGAATGGTTGGGTTGGAAGGCTTTTGGTTGCCCTCTGTATTTCTCGGGCTCTCAGACTGTGAAAATCATAGAATCGTAGAATGGTTTGGGTTGGAAGGGACTTCTAAAGGTCGTCTAGTCCAACCCCCCTGCCGCGGGCAGGGACATCTTCAACTAGATCGGGTTGCTCAGAGCCCCGTCCAGCCTGACCTGGAATGTTTCCAGGGATGGGGCATCCACCACAAATGGACAGAAAAAATGTTTTTTTTCTATTCTAGAATCATTTTCCCGTGTTTGATTCTTTGGTTTGTTTTAAGTCTGTGTAAGAGGGATGCTTTTCAGGGCATCATAGGAAATGCAGCAATTTTCAAAGACTCAGAGGTAAATGTTTAATTTTAGGTGGTGTTTGGGTACCAAACTGGTAGGCACAGCGTAAGCTTTGAGGAACAGTGAAACTCCACCTAATGAGCATGTTCTGCATTTATAATCCCTGGCTCCTGTCCTTTGTGTCGCCTCTGACCCATCCCACGTTGGCAGTAACGTCCTTCCTCCAGTACGGCCCATCCTGTAATGTTTGCGCTTTGTACTTTGTTTTCATCTGCTCAGACAGCTGCCTCTTTGGGTTTTGCTCAGCGTTCTTCAACTGTAAAGAACTTCCTAAACAATCTCCAGCAAAGAAAGGGTTGTTGAGTTGTTGTTTTAACTTGCCGTCCCCAAGGAGCTCTTCTTGCTGTTGTTTATTTTTCTTTAACAATTCATTTCAATAGACATTGCTGTTCTGGTTCTGATTTTTAATGCTGCTAAAAGTTGCCCAACAATGCCTGCCCTGTTCTCTGATCATACATTCAGACATTACGCCTATCTTCGGGACAGTCTCTCTCATCTGGTTCCTCCGTTAAGAGTAAGTTGAACCGCTTTGGTTTGCACTTCGCCACTCTGTTATGAATATTGTTGGTCTCTTCCACGTCTGTCTGCGTGTAACACTTCGATTCTAAAAGTTTTTTCTCCCAAGCACCAAGCGAATGAATATTGAAATGTACATTAAGTAAGGAGAGCCAAATATTAAATTGTTACAATATGGTTTTGGTAGTATTTTGGGGAGAATAATAACGTTATTGCTCTCGAGTGAGAATAGCACATGGTTTGCTGGTTAGGAAAGAATACCGGGAGGGCAGGGGTCCTGGGAGCTTTCTGTAGCTCTGACTGTGTGGGGAAGGGGAGCTTAGCCTTTGTAGATCTTTCAACGTTTGACTTGTGTCCTACCTAAATGGTTTACTCGCGGGTGAGATGTGTTCCCTGCTGCTTTGAAGCATGTTTTTCCTGCATGGAAGTACAGGTTGGTCGTAAGTCTTATTACAGCTCATAAAATGAATTGCGGTTTGTGTGGTCTTGGACTTCCCTTTACTTCACAGTGTCATAGTTAGTAGACGAGGAAGATGTTTCCCTCAAAGGGATGTTGAAGTTTAACCTGAAGATCTCTAGCTGCAAGTGGATTATAAAATGGAGAGGATTAACTAGCAAAGATAAAAGATGTAGCCTTGAAATCCTTGATATAGATTTTGAGTTTAAGAAATAAATCCGAGCTCTCAGTCGGTAGTTGTTAAATAACACGGCAGCATTTTGCAGTGTTGTTACTTGCGTTAAGACTCTTGTGTATCCATGTGTTTCTTCTTGCGTAGTTGCCAGGTAGAAAGCTGGTGTCCTCCCCTGTCTCTCCCAGTATTACACCACATGAAGATCCTTCCCAGCAGTTCTTGCATCAGAGCCTGGAGAGAGTTTACAACCTTCAGCACCTTGACCCGCAGGGCATACAGGAGCTGCTGGAATTTACCATCCGGTAAGGCTGCAGGCTGACCTGTTCATGGGAAGATGGGTTAGGATTCCCAATTTCTCTGAAGCAGGTGCTTTGCTTCTGAATATCAGCGTTGTACTTTGCCATCGGGCACTTAGTCTGAGCCACCTTCTAGAGAGCACTGCGATAAAACAGCGTTCGTGGCCTATTTGGAACAAAACTGGTGGTCTCAGTTCTGGCTCTGCCCCGCTGAATAATCAGTGTGTGTTTTGGGGGAACGTCTTTTCAGAGCGTGGTAAGAGTCAGGCAAGGGTGCCCTTCTTGGACTGGTAAAATACACTTTCAGTTTGTATGGATGACAGCCTTGTGTGTCATTCTTAGTTCTCTGGCCCTGTACGAGTCCCTCATTTTGATCATATTATTTTTAATGTACGTACACGGGGGGGTTTGTTTCATTTTTGTGGGGAGAGGTTGTCCCCTTTCCAATTTCCGCTTCCTGTGGCCTTTCATTCAGTGCGAGAGGACCTGCTTCGGGTGCTTTGCTGGGTTCTTAGCGCCAGTCCCACTCACAAAGGACGTTGGCGTTCTGCATCAGTTTGAAAATCAGAGAGAGATTTTCCTGGAATAGACAATATTATTGTGTGTTGCTGTCTGCTCTTGTATAGATAAGGGTGTACAGTATGGCTTCTGAATGTGGGTTTTATGCTGCCTCTTCCATTTCATGTCTGGACTGATTTACACAACGAAACACTTGAAAAGGATCTTTTCAATACGATTCCTCTGCTTGGAAAGAGGAAAAGAGCCCTATTTTGAGAGTTAGAAAAACAGTCTAAAATGCTTTGTTTGGAATATGGAATTCCAAAAAGCTTTATTTTTTTTCCTTCCTCCAAAATACCTGCCTCTTCTGTATCTGTAAAGCTGTAAATCTCTTTCACACCCACCTGCGGTGGAGAATAAACAGTGTGCTCCTCACTGAAAACCCAACTGTGAAAACTGTGGTTTGTCCTCAGCTGTTTTGAAGCTACTATGCGCAGCCTAAAACATTAGTCTCAAAGCACTAAACGCTTGAAAAGGGTAATCTCTTGGCAGAGCATCCAGAATCTTACAGGCACGATGAAGGTCTGGAAACCTCGCAGGCTGTGAATGTTTTCAATTTTGAGTGTAGGAATCGTGTCGGAGATGGCTGCGTGCGTAACTTACATGCAGTAAAGGACAGTAATGATTTGAAGTTGATGGAAATTATTAGCTTGGCTTTTTTCCTGCTGGGATCACCACCCAGGAACCGTACTAAACCAGCTGCTGTATTCCACCCTTAAGAGAAGGGAGGATTTAAGACAAAAAGGTTATTTTGCAGAGGGCAAGAGTTTCCTGCACGAACTTGCCGAGAGGAGAGGGATAGAAGAAGCTCACAGCAGTGGATTCTGCGGGTGGGACATAACTCCTGCCTCCTTTATCATTATTGTCATCAGGGGAAGTAGAGCAGACCTCGTGGAGCTGGTGTCTACTTGGGACTTACATTTCTGACCACGCTCAAGGCTGACGCTCTTCCCCCAGGGTCTGCAGCTGAAACTGCAAGACAGGCTTTTTTAGCAAATTGGTCTTTGTGGTTTAGTTTCTCCATCTATACAGCAGGAATTTTTTTTGTCTTGCAGGGATGTTGAAATCTGTTTAAGATTTGTAAGGAAATAGAATTAGTGGGATTGGGAACCGTGGAAGACTGGGAAACAGAATATCTGCCTAGCTGTTAGCTGAGGGATGACATCCTGTTCCCCGTTAGTGTGTTGTGATGCATTAAGTATGACATGGGAATTAAGCACCCAGGAGTCTGTTCTTTTCTGTCTGGGAAAAGATTAAATGGAGTCACTATGTAGGGCTCAGGCTGGCTCTACTGTTGTTGCACTGAAGGAAGGCGCAGCCCTTCTGCTTAGGAGAGGTTTTCTTTGGCTGCAAATTATACAGATAATCTCATGGATTTTTTTGAATGTGTCAGCGCTTAGCAACCTTCTGGTTTGGCAGAGTCAAAGTTTCAGGACTGCATCATAAATGCAAAGATAAATCTAAAATAAACAAAAGGAAAGCGTCATCTGAAGAAAAACCAATCTTTTTAATAATACTGTAGGAAACATGGGAATAAGAGTGACAATTTTAGTACGCTTTGGATCAAAGCAAAATACAGAGAAGAACAGAGACGTTGAATCCACATCATCCAACCTATTTTCAGTTCTATAACAAAAAGTGTGTTTTGTTTTCTTAATACACGCTTTTGATTTTAAAACATGTCTAAGAGTAGAGAACTAAAGCCTTTTTGGGTTCCGTTAAGTGTCTGTCTGTTTGGTTTTTTTTCTCCCCTCTGTGAAGTTAAAAGCTACTTCTATTGCTGTATGAGTTACAAGAAATACCAGACAGCACACAACAGCTACTTGGGCAAATATCAGTACATCAGATTTCAGCTTGTTTTAAAAAGGCAGCTATATTTCAGATATGCTTGGTTGCGTGAGCCTGACATGTTCCAAACAACCTTTCCTAGCCAACTTGAATAGTTAGATTTCCCAGCAGTGTAACGCAAATGGGTCGTTAGCTGCTGTGCAAGTCTGGAGTGTTTTAAGTTAGATCTGGAACTGCTACGCTGTACGGTTCCCATAGGGCTGCAGAGTGAAGTAGGTTGACAGACTTAGTGCTTCCACTGCTGGGCTCGTGTCAGCCTCCAGGAAGAAAGGAGCTGCCGAGTCCCAAGGTGCAAACTGTTTTGTAGTGCCTGTTTTGCTACTGTTTCTGGTGCTCGTTGTAAGGATAAGAAAAAGCAAGACGCAGAAATAGCTGGCTTCATCGTTGCTGTTGCTGTGTTCTGAGTGCGTTTAGATTAACTTGCTGTCTCAATATGGTTTTTTCCTTTTTTGTTTGTTTTTTGTTTTTCCACATGCTTCAGCGATCTTCAGAGGCTTGGAGAACTGCAGTCAGAACTGGCAGGGATGGCAGATTTCACTGCAACTTACCTTCAGTGTCAGCTGCTCCTCATCAAGGTTTGACTTCATCTGGGGTTTTTTGGGCTGTTCTTCAAAAATGCCCCCAGTCCATCTCCATGGTGCACTTTCATGTTTTGATGTTTGTGCTGAAAACTGATGTATGATGAAAGCGCAGGTTCCATGGATTTCTGATATTCCTACTTCCCTTCTGCAGTAACTTTGCCAATGAGTACGCCAGCGCAGGTCTCTGTACCTAGGGCTTATGTTGGTTCACGTGCGTTTTGCCAGTGCAGAGTTTATTTTCTGACAGAAATCACAATGGAGGCAACTACTCTGTAGCCTTTTATGTTAGGAGAGTAGCTTTTCTTTGCTAGTGGCCACTGGAATGCTTTTTGCTAAACTGCTGCTATAAGTGGAGGTTTTATAGACAATGTTTTGTAGACAGCTTTTTCGGCACCAATGCCAAAGGAATTCTTTAGACTTGATTGAGCAAAATATCAGTCGTGCTTTCTTTTACAGTGCTGAACTGATCTGTCTGTTTGGTATTAGCAGATGAAGTGGTTACTTTGACACTGTGGCAGCAACCCTTTTCAAAGTCAGCTTCTTGCTGTAAACAGGAACTAATTTTTTGTTTCGCTTCTCGAGCTATCAACTGGCAATAGTATTTCAGTTAGTCTCCTGGCATTCTCTCGGTGGTTGAATGTAAGTTATACACATGTAAAGGAAGAACTAAAGCAAGCAACAAACAGGTTTCCAGAAGGGACTCAATAAAAGCTTCGTTATGTAAAACCAAGAAAGGATTTCAGTTTCTTTGCTAAACACGTAGCTGCCAGTTGGCATATCTCATGGCAGCCCTCAAATCTTTGGGATTCATTTATCACCCAAGGAAGGTATCTTAGATGAGCAGTGTTACAGCTCGGTACATTCCTAGCTAAATCCAAAACTTTTGCCAAAGCAAAATGTGCTATCCAGGCAGAGGACCAACATTTGGAGGTGGCTTTGTTGCCATTCTTCAGGGTTTGGCTGGAGTGAGCCGGTGTACGTTAGCTCAGAGAACAATGGTTTGTGTATCTGGCAAAGCGGAGCGCTCTGTTTGGAAGAAGGGAGTAAATGCTGCACCAGCCATGCTTGGCTCGAGCTGTAGAACAGACAGTACGTCAGTGATGCAGAGGAGTCAGCGATGTGGCCGAAATGAAAAGTAACTCGTAATACCATACAACTAGAAATTCTGATGTGGCAGAGAAACCCGAATGTCAGAGCAGCCCTTTTCAGTAGATTTCTTTCCAATTGCTTCTTTCCCCAGCAGAAAGAAGCTGTTGGGAGGGGAAAAAAGTATCTTCATTTCCCAGCCTCTCGAGGCTCAAAAGGTTCCAGACCTTTAAAGGCTCTCCATAACCTGTGATTTTAGGGGTAGTTAGCTGGGATTCTGCAGCCAACCTAGGTGAAGGATACAGTCTGTATGTTCTTGAGCTTTGGCTACAGCCAGCTTTGTGTGTAGCTGTATCTAAGGACAGGCAGCTTCAAAAAGGTGGCAGTGATATAAATCATCCAGTCAAGCTTTCTTAATTTTTTTTAAACATAAATCAAAAAGCAAATAGGGTGTGGCTGGGTATTTGTGTGGTTTTGTTTTTGTTGGTTTTTTTTTTTTCTTAAATAAGACTATCAGTAGCTGATTTACATTCGGTATTCTTAGTAACTCCAGGATCTTTGGTGGGGTGGAGAATGTCAATAGGAGAGTTCAGAAATATGACTGTGTAGGTGTGTTTCTGGGGACAGTTGTTATTGTTTCCACTTTTTGCCTGCAATCTGAGATTGCCCTGATCTTGGTCTCAGGGAGGTGATAAAGCAGTGGGCTATTGTTTTTCTAATAAGTTTCTTCATTCTGCATAAAGTTCTCCTTAAAAAGTACTGAAGAGTTTGGCTCAGCCAGTCTCTATTTCATAGTTTTGTTAATATTACTCTCAATTTCTGTTTTGTATTTTATAGCTGTATAGGTCTCTCCGTGTATTTATAGAACAGTACCTATTTTGGAGGCCTTGGTTCCCTGTGTTGTATTTAAAAGCGCAAAAGAAAACTTTGGCCTGCTTTTTCAACCAACCCGTTGGCGTACAGCCAAGAGACAGGGCATCTTCCCTGCTCCCAAGCCCATCTAGCGCGGCGTTATAATGTTTAGACTGAACTGGGTATTTATCATCATTTCACGGTTTTCTTCTGTAGGCCTTGCAGGAGAAGCTGTGGAATGTGGCAGCTCCTCTGTACCTGAAGCAGAACGCGTTAGCATCTGCTGCAGCAAAACAGGTGAGGCAGAAGCAGCTGGGTCTGTGTGGAGACAAGTCCTCGGATACGAGCCCTTCCTTGGCCATGCAACGATAATACGCTTCTGATCTTCTACTGCCGTAGTCTGTCCAGGGAAATCTTAGTTCCCCAAAGTGGAGTTATTTCTCTCATCTTCAAAAGATGAGTGGTGGAGGTTCATGACAACTGTAAAAAGGCAAACATCCTACCCAGCTTCCAGAAGAGCAAGAAGGTAGATCCAGAAAACTGTGGGCTGCTTGGCCTCGCCTCACTCCTGGGGAAGGTTATGGACCAACTCCTCTTAAAAGCCATTTCTAAACAAGTGAAGGTCAACAAGGTGATTGGGAACAACCAAAATGCATTTCCCAAGGGCAAATTGGGGGCACTGGTGGATGAAAAGCTGGACACGAGCCGGCAATGTGCGCTCGCAGCCCAGAAGGCCAATCGTGTCCTGGGCTGCATCCAAAGCAGCGTGGCCAGCAGGTCGAGGGAGGGGATTCTGCCCCTCTGCTCTGCTCTGGTGAGACCCCCCTGGAGCACTGCGTCCAGCTCTGGGGTCCTCAGCACAAGAAAGACACGGACCTGTTGGAGCGGGTCCAGAGGAGGCCACAAAAATGATCAGGGGGATGGAACACCTCTGCTATGGAGAAAGGCTGAGAGAGTTGGGGTTGTTCAGCCTGGAGAAGAGAAGGCTCCGGGGAGACCTTATTGCAGCCTGTCAGTACTTAAAGGGGGCTGATAAGAAAGATGGCGGCAGACTTTTTAGCAGGGCCTGTTGTGACAGGACAAGAAGGAATGGTTTTAAACTAAAGGAGGGCAGATTTAGACTAGCTATAAGGAAGAAATTTTTTACTCTGAGGGTGGTGAAACACTGGCACAGGTTGCCCAGAGAGGTGGTGGATGCCCCATCCCTGGAAACATTCCAGGTCAGGCTGGACGGGGCTCTGAGCAACCTGATCGAGTTGAAGATGTCCCTGTCCACGGCAGGGGGGCTGGACTAGATGAGCTTTAGAGGTCCCTTCCAACCCAAACTATTCAATGAAATTATGCCTGACCAACATCATTGCTCTCTGAGGGGACAAGGGCAAGGCAGTGGATGTCGTATCCCTTGACTTTAGCAAAGCCTTTGACGCAGTCTCCCATCATTTCCTTTTCACCAAACTGGCAGGATTCTGGCTGAGTAAGTGGGTGATAAGGCTCCTCCAAATTGAGGAGCCAGTCGAGATGCCGGAGGGCATAACTGCTGTTCAGCCTGCTCTGGACAGGCTGGGGAAGTGGAATGACAGGAACCTCATGATGTTCAGCATGCGGATCCTGGTGGACAACACATTGAACATGAGGCAGTAAAGAAGGCCAACTACATCCTGGGCTGTCTTAGCAAGAGTGTGGCCAGCGGGTCTGGGGAAGTGATCCTTCCCCTCTATTCAGCTCCGGCGAGATCACATCTGGAGGGCTGTGTTGTGTTTTGGCCTCCCCAGTAGAAGGAAGATGCTGACAAACTGGGCCAAGTTCAGCAGAGGGCCACCAAGGTGGTCAGGGGCTGGAGCACATTGCCTGCAAGGAGAGGCTGAGGGAACTGGCCTTGTCCAGCCTGGAGAAGAGAAGGCTTCAGGGTGGATTTACTGCTGTCTGCTGCTGCCTCATCGTAGGGTGTAGATGAGACGGATCCAGACTGCTCTGGACAAGAGACAATGGACACAAGTTGGAATATGAGAAATTCTGATTAGATACAAGGGGAAAAACAATTTACTGTAAGGGAGGTTAAATACTGGAACAGGTTGCCCAGAGAGATGGGGGGAATCTTCGTCCTTGAAAGTGTTCACAGCTTGATGTGGCCCTGAGTAACTGGATCTAATTAGACCTGCTGTGAGCAGGGGACCAGGCTAGATGACCTCCAGAGGTCCCACCCAACCTGAGTTATTCTGATTCTGTGATGTATAAACGATCTGATCCTGGGAAAACTGAAGCTAAGCACTAAGAAAAGGTAAAGGAGAAAGCAAGCTATTAAATAATCCGGAAACAAATCTAGGGTAAAAGCAAGTTCATGGATCTGCTGGGAAACTATGCTGACATTTTGAGTCTTCAGTTAATTAAGATGTAATGAGAGGCAGGTACTGCTGTGCATCAAAACCTTCTATGCTGTTGACAGCTGTCCCCAGGGATAGTAGAAACAAAAGCCTATCAGCTTTTTAAATCTTCTCTAATTGAACTGTCTGTCTTGGGTGCCCTTCTCAGTAGCATGTGAACCCCCTGGGAAGTTTTATCTGTTGTGATTGTGAATGTAGAACGCTTCCTGTCAATGCAAAGTGAGGGAGTGTTTCCTATTAAATAACTTGCAAGTTCTTGGTTTCTGTACAGTCATACTGAACTCGACTGTATTAATTTGAGCACTTCTCTTGTCTGCTTAAGCCCATCTATTCGACAGATAAAGTACGATGAGTAAAATGGTGGAATGTGCTGTCTAAGCTTTTAACCGTGTATCTAAAATAGCCCAGGATGATACTTATCTGGTGATGGTTCCCATCTTTTGCTGCAGTATGTGAAGCGTTGTTGAACGTAAAGTTGTTTCCAAGAGAACTTTGTCAAATATAGCTCCAAAAATGCAAACCTGAGCAGGACCACTGAGGTTGCTCTGTTGTGCTGCTCACGTTTTGTATTCCAGAGTAGCCAGCCGGAGTCGGTGAGTGCTCTACCCCTAGAAATCCAAAATGCAGTGCCAAAAGATAGACTGCTGATGGAGGCAGCGCTTGATTTCAGGCCAAGTTTCATGAATTGTTTCTTTAATATAGCCAAGATAACCTTTTAGTATTAGGTGCCGCTTTACGCTGTGAAGAATTTCACCAAAAGGATGAGACTCGTGGATTAATGTGTTCCTCAGTATGAGGAAAAATACCAGAATCTTGTGATCATGCTTGTGCAAGAGTTTAACAGGGTCTGATGGTTTGTTACCCCTGTGGTTTCTGTCTGACAGATCTTGGAAGAAACTTATAAAATGGAGTTCATGTACAGCGGCGTGGAAAGTAGACAAGTGGTCATTATTCACCACATGAGACTGCAAGCGAAGGCGTTACAGCTTATAGTGACTGCGCGTACCACCAGAGGGTAAGGGTGACCTGACAAAAGGACCTTCTTAGGGTTAACTGTAAGCTTAGTTTCCTCAAGCTTTGTTTAAAAAAACCAGCAAGGATAAATTAGACACATAAAACATCACGGCATGCCAATAACCATTTGCTAAACTGCTTCAGCATGAAGAGCCTTCTTTTGCCTTTGGTGTAGTTGTAGAGTGGCACAAGACTAAATTACGTGACAAAATCACGAGGAAGACATGTTTAGGGGGTTGAGTTCTCTCAGCTATGAACATATAAATAGGTTAAAAAACGTAGAGTGTGTCTTAGAGTTGATATTTGGGACGTATTTAAATGAGGAAAAGTCATGTATCGAAGAATGCACTAATCGTGTTTCCTTCACTAAGTGTTAGTTGCTGAGTTTTTAGCATCAGAAAAGAATTGTCATTTTGACTCATCTGCAACTAATGTTTGTGTGACTCGGACACAAAATGCTCACGTGTACGCGTGGCTTAGGGAACAGGGCAGGCTCTGTGTGGTTCCTTTGGGCTGCCGAGGTCAATGAAGTTACACCTGGGTTTGGATGGTTGTAGAATTAGAACTTCATTTGGTGGAGTTAGAGCGAGGTGGTTAGTACCCTAATTTGTTTACGTTGTTGCCATCAATTCACTGTGTTGCCATCGAGGTCCATAATAGATTTGCCTCTTAACCTCCTGTTTTATAGGCGGAAAGTCAGTATTTTCTAGCAGTGGCTTTGGGACCTTAATTAGTGCCTTACGCAAGTGATTTTTTGTGGGAGGGGGATATGGATGTGGGGAGGAAGATGGTGATTAATTTTTATTTTTTCTCTTGTGGGGAACACCTTTCTGGCCTTAACATTGTAAGATCTTTTAGTTTTTAGGAGCTTGAGCTGGATTCCGAAACACCTAAATGTTTATAACCATAGAGCCAATTTTCTGTATTCAAAATTAAAACAAGGGATGTTATCGTCATTACAGAGTGGAACCCCTTTTTGGGATGTGTGAAAAATTCCTACAGGAGGTGGATTCCTTTCAGAGGTGAGAAACTCCGTTGCTTCTTCACTTTATGTTAGAAAGTCCCCCCCCACCATTGACATCAGGGAATATTCTGTTTGTTTTTCATCTCTTTGCATCTCCCTTCCCCTGTTGCTGTCCTACCTCGGGGACTGCTGTCATGAGATAATGATACAGCAAGAAGTAAACTCCCTTCTAAATGTGGGATCAATGGAAGAGCTTTCCTGGGAGTATATTTCCCTTTTCTTTATCATAAATTTCTAAATTGTAAATGAGAGAGTGAGTGAACCGTCTACATGCTCAAGGTGGGAGTTATCTCGCCCGGGTGCTGACGTTTGCTTTGTAGACCACTGCTTATGAAGCCCTCACCCAGCTCTCCTCTCACCGGAGAGGTGCTTCTTTCATCTTATCCAAATCTAGATGTCTAAAATGGGTCAGATTAGGGATGCCCAGGTTTTTTCTGTCAGCTCAGAAGGGAACTGGGTAGCTAGCCCAGAGACATAGGTATCCAGAGTTGGCTGAGCAGAATTCCATCCCTAGTTCCGATTAAGTTCCCATTTATTCGTGGTCCGTATGCTTGGCAGTTGTGACTGGTTAAGTGACGAGAAAAGGGAGCCAAATCTACCCATTGCCTAATGTTTAGCTTATTTGGTAGCTAATGACTAGAACTGTTCATTTGCTTTGTATCTTTTCTTCGCACTGAGTCTCGGGATCAGCAAAAACTCATCACTCTTTCTCAGGAATGTAACTCCTACAGGCGGTGATGAATTCCACAAAAGGGAATCTGGATGACGGTAGATCTTGTCACTTAGCTGTAAGGTCACCTGTAAATGCTCGGACACGTAAAATCCCCGTGTCTAGGTCGTGCAGCCTCAGCGTGCCAGATTTTAGCTGCGTCCCATGACAGAGCAGTTGAAATTTGCAGTCATAGGAGCACAAGGATGTGTGTTCCTGCGTAGCCCTCTTACCGTGTACAGAGGAGAGTGTGATTTTTCTCCACCCTTGCCAAGCTGGTGGTAGAAGCTTCTGTTTATGGATTATGAGCTCCTGTAGAGCACCACCAGGATCCTGGAAAAAAGAAAAATCATCTCACTTCTAGGGCTTTAGGACCTGAAGCTGTTTTGGGCATGTCTGGTATTCCTGTCCGGGCTTTATAGACTCAACGGTAGGTGAAGATACAGCGCAACACCAGACGTGACGACAAGCGGGGAGGAGAGCCCGTTGTTCAAGAGGCTGTTCGCCTACAGGAACGGTGCATTTTTTTCACCAAATTGCACGAGTAGTTACCAGGCTTACAAAACCGCTAAACACAGCAGGAATGTTGCAGATAATAACGGATAAGCCACCAATGACTCAGTCTAACAAAGCATCTGCACGCAGGGAGGTAGGGTAGTAGCCCAATTTTACCTCTATATAAAGAACAAGAAGTACTAAATGCTCTTCTTGTGAGAGGCTGTTGTCCCAAGCTATAGAGTGGATTCTGTTCTCTGCTCTTGACCTCTAGAACTGGCTTCCCCCCCCTCCACTGATTGTAGTTTACTATTAAAATTTCACTCCCCAGATGTAATAAATAATGCTCTCGTAAATATTGGTAGAGAAAAAACGTTCTGGAAACTTTGCTGCAGCAGAAGGTCAGACAACTCACATACTGGGTGTGTGGGTATGTTAGATCCTGTAATGAGTCAGCTGTTTAGTTAGCCAGGTGAAAGTGCACAGCATGAAGACACGCACATGCCTAATTCTTTCCTGAGAATCATAGAATCATTAAGGTTGGAAAGGACCTCTAAGATCATCG